CTGGGCAAGGTGGCTCATGCCTGTAATCCCAGCAGTTTGGGAGGCTGAGGTGGGAGGATCACTTGAGCCCAGGAGTTCCAGACCAGCCTGGGCAAGAAAGACCCTGTCGCTACAAAAAATAAATTGGGTGGGGCGCATTGGCTCATGCCTGTAATCCCAGCACTTTGGGAGGCCATGGCAGGTAAATCAATAGCCTGAGGTCAGGAGTAAATTAGCTGGGCGTGGTGGCAGGTGCCTGTAATCCCAGCTACTCGGGAGGTTGAGGCAGGAGACTCGCTTGAACCCAGGAGGCGGAGGTTACGGTGAGCTGAGATCACGCCACTGCACTCCAGCCTAGGTAACAAGAGTGAAGCTCTGTCTCAAAAAACAAAGGTTTTAATTAGCTAGGTATGGTGGCAAAGCCCTGTGCTTCCAGCTACTCAAGGGGCTGAGGGGGAGGATCGGTTGAGCCTGGGAGGTCAAGGCTGCAGTAGCTATGATCGCACGACTGCACTCTAGCCTGAGTGACAGACCCTGTCTCAGAAAAATGAAAACAAATATATATATGTTCATAGTGGAAGAGAGACAGAAAGTGCACAAAAGAAAGTAATAAAACTCCTCCGTGATGTTCTCACCAGTAGCCAATGCTAGCCACACTCAAACCACATCAGTAAGAGGTGTTCTGTTGCCACGTCTCTGTGTTTGCATGTTCCAGCACCTGCCATCACTGCCTGCTTTGAGATAGCATCTCACTTTTTCACCAAAGCTGGAGTGCAGTGGCATGTACTCAGCTCACTGCAGCCGTGACTTCCAGGCGCAAGCAATCTTTCCACCTCAGTCCCCCGAGTGGCTGGGACGACAGGCAGGCACCATCATTCCTGGATAATTTCACCGTGTTGCACGGGCTGGTCTGGAACCCCTGGGCTCAAGCGACCTACCCATCTTGGCCTCCCAAAGTGCTGGGATTACAGGCATGAACCATTGTGCCCACCTCATTTTTTATGTGCTGAAAAATACTCCATTTTTTGGATAGGCCATAGTTGCTCATCTGTTGAGGGACACCTGGTCAGTTTCCACCTTGGGAACTGTGATGTATATTGCTGCTCTGAATACAGATGTGCTAGTTTTGCTCTGGACACGTTACTGTTTCTCATGGACATATGCCTAGGAGTAGAGGAACTGCAGGCTGTTTCCCAGCTCCGCTGTGCCATCTGCCCTCCCCCTGCCGGGTGTGAGCTCTGCAGCTGCACTTGAACACCCCTGTGTGGCCATGTGGCAGAGGCACCTAGGGAAGGGGAACTTGTGTCTGAAGGTGCCTGAGCAGAGGCTTGCTGTCTCATCCCATGCCCCAGCCACATGGCAAAGTATGGGCACTGCCCTGTCCTTGGGGATCAACCCCAGGATGTCCAAAGTGCACTGGGATTGGGGCAAGGGGCCTAGTGTGGCCAAGGGGCTCCTCTCAGCACAAACCAGTGTACTGCGGGCCTGCTGCAGGGTGGCCCCAGGAAGGGCTAGGGTGGAGCAGGTTGAGGACTAGACGGTGGGAGGGCCGACTCGGTGGTTCTAGCCTGGGAGCTGAGCCCTGGTGAGTTCTGGGATGAGGTGAGGGCCTTGTGCAAGAGCAGAGGCACCCAGGGGCCTCCCTTGCCTTTGTCTATTGTGTAATGTGGGTTGGAGAGAATCCAGGTTACCCATAACCCACTATCCATTTAGAACCCTCTTGAGTATTACAGATTTGTTCTCGACAATGGCATGAGCCTGTTCCTGCCATTTTAGTTTAAGGCCCCATGAGCATCTTTGGCAGCCTGTGGCTCTGGGTGGGCACCTGGCCGGGCACCTGGCCTGCACTCATCTGCCCCCGCCCCGCAGGGAGCTCGAGGAGCAGCACGGCATCCACTGCAACATGACGCTACTCTTCTCCTTCGCCCAGGCTGTGGCCTGTGCCGAGGCGGGTGTGACCCTCATCTCCCCATTTGTTGGGCGCATCCTTGACTGGCATGTGGCAAACACCGACAAGAAATCGTACGAGCCCCTGGAAGACCCTGGTGAGGGTCCCCCGGAGGTAATGGGGTAAGGGGAGAAGCCTCAGCCACACCTCAGGCGGGAAGAGCCTGCGATGGAGCTGGTGTGTCGACAAGCAGTGAGGTGCACAGGTCGGCGTGGGGCAGGCAGGGATGGCGGCTCAAGGTAGTGCAGTTGGCAGGCACTGGGAGGGCAGGCGGGGTGGTACCTCTGCAGACGCTTTCCTGGACACAGCCTGGTCTCCTGGCAGGGGTGAAGAGTGTCACTAAAATCTACAACTACTACAAGAAGTTTGGCTACAAAACCATTGTCATGGGCGCCTCCTTCCGCAACACGGGCGAGATCAAAGCGCTGGCCGGCTGTGATTTCCTCACCATCTCACCCAAGCTCCTGGGGGAGCTGCTCAAGGACAACTCCAAGCTGGCGCCTGTGCTCTCAGCCAAGGCGGGTGAGGCCCCTCCGCCCTGTGGTCACGTGGGGGAAGCTTCCCACCTTGGGGCAAGTTCATCTCAGGAGACATGAGGGTGAAGTGAACCTCAGTAGAGGGCTTGGATTCCCTAACACATCTCACTCAAGTCCTCAGCTGAGGTACAGTGGGCTGAACCCCACTTCCAGTGTGAGCCTGGCTGGGGGTGAGGGCTGGCCCTGGTGGGAGATGCTGGGCAGCAAGCTCAGGGACAGCCCTGAGCCCAAGGGGCCAAGGTGGGGAGGGACAGCTGGTTCTTGTCCCCCCAGCCCAAGCCAGTGACCTGGAAAAGATCCACCTGGATGAGAAGTCTTTCCGCTGGCTGCACAATGAGGACCAGATGGCCGTGGAGAAGCTCTCGGACGGGATCCGCAAGTTTGCTGCCGACGCAGTGAAGCTGGAGCGGATGCTGACTGTGAGTGTTGTGTGTGGGCAGCCACAGACATACGCCAAGCCCCGTCAGAGTCCAGGCCTGGGCATGGGTGTTAAAGCTGGGCAGAGTCAGAGCTTCAGTGAGACCCCAGGTCTCATTCACGGGCTGCCCAGCAAGAGGGGCCTGCGAGGCCATCCAGGGAGGAGGGTTCCCCTTGGTGGGTCCTGGCTCCTCTCTGGCCTGTGTGGTGTCTGACTATGGTGTTGGCCACCCTGTGGCCCTGGCCCCCATTCAGACTGCAGACCCCACAAGGGCCTCCCTCCTTCCAAGTGGTGTTGTGGGGCTTCACGGTGCAGATGGCAGGGGTGGTGAGGCCAACCGTGCCCGTCATGCTGTGCTTGTTCCTAGGAACAGATGTTCAATGCAGAGAATGGAAAGTAGCACAGCACCTGCGGCCGGACTCCAGGTCTGCACCGCTGGCCAGCTGGGGCCTGACTGTACATGGCTTGTGGTGAATCTTGCATTTTTTACCGATTGGATCAGGGACAGATCATAGATTTCTGATTTTATGTAAAATTTTGCCTAATACATTAAAGCAGTCGTTTTTCCTGTGCCGTCTCATTCACCGTCTCCGTCCCCTTTGTCCCCTAAACATCACCTGCCCAGCTGTGATGGGCTGTAACGTAGGCTAGGATTCAGAGATGGTCAGGGTCAGGGTCAGGGTACCCCAGACACAACCGCCTGTGCCACTACCTGGGAGCCCACGTCGGGGTTGTTGCTGGGCTGCCTTTTGACGGTGGTCCCTTCCTCGGTGAGGACCTGCCTGAGCCCTCAGACCTGTAGGGTGCATTGGTGGAGCTGGGGGTAGGTAACCCCCCATATAGGCACGAGGAATGGGCTTGAGGAATATCTCACTTTATAGTGTTACTACTCAGCTGTTTCCTTTTATAGAATCCCTTTATGTAATCCTCTCTATATAATCATATAATAGTTGATAGTATGAGTGCCTGAAGAATATCTCCCTACATATACACCTATAATTATATCTTAGCTCATAGTCGGAGGAATGCCTGGAGCGGACACAGTGCAGAGCATGAAATAAGGGAAAACAGTTACACCAGGACAAGAACCCACGGCCCAGGCAGCAGCGTTCAGTATCGTAAAGATACCCGCTGCATGGCAGGCTTGGGGCGAGGGCCACTCCTCCTGATAAAGGAGTTGTAGGACCTTGCTCCAGTTCTGTGGAAGGTGCCCTCAGAACGGCAATCCACCCTGGTGACTGTGAACTTCATCAGCTCTTGCTACTGTGCTGCTCGAAAAGCATCTTCCCATAGAACCCACTGGAAGCTGCCAGAAGGTGGCGGTAACCCTGACAGCTCTGTCACTGCTGTGTGACTTAAAGCATCCTCCTATAAATCTTCTTAGAAGTAGTTTCCCGTAGATAGAAGTATCGCACACTGCACCCTCTTCACTGCGCACGGCCCACCTCCATGCCTCGGTGACCTAATGGGGGTGGACCCCTCACTGCACACGGCCCTTGCTTTCGTGGGAACGGGCCCTTGCTGTGCACTGTCCACCTCCTGGCCTAGGTGACCTAATGGGGGTGGACCCCATGTTTTATTGCTCACGGCCCTATCACCGTCCTTAAAGATGACTTCACTCACTGCCCTGCCCCCTAACCTGTACACAATAAATACTCACGCTTCTGGACATTGGGGGCCTCTCCTAACTCCGCTCATAGGTGGCGTGGCCCTCGAGCCCAGCTGTGGTTTCCTTGTACTTCTGTGTCCTGTCTCTTTATTTCCCGGATCCTGCGCCTCAGCACAGCATAAGGCTCACCCCACGGCCCTGTGGGGCCCTCAGCCCTACACTGGGCGAAGGGTAGGGTTATGATGCCAGGGGCTCCCAGGGTGCTGTCCCAAGTGGGTCACAGATGAACGCTGATGCAGTTTCAGGCCTCCAAGCATGGGCACGTGTGGACGCCTGCCAGAGGAGCAGTCCCAGCCAGACCCTCCCTCCTGCTTTTGAGGGCCTGGGCCTCCTGTGCCCTGTCAAGGCTGCCCCGCCCTGCCCCCCCCTTGTCCTGTTGTGGCTGACACCTTGCAAGGGATGCCAGGTTCCTGCATGGGGTCATGGCATCACCTCATAGGGGCAGCACGACATGCACCAGCCGCGGGCTTTGAAGCCCCCCATCCTAGCCCCCCATCCCATTTTGTTTTCAGATGGAGCTTCACTCTTTTTTTTTTTTTTTTGGAGGCGGAGTTTCACTCTTGTTACCCAGGCTGGAGTGCAATGGCGCGATCTCGGCTCACCG